TCCATAAGACTCCATACTATCAGACTGGAGCTGCCCCCTGCTGGCTGTTAGAGAGACTGCAGGTTTAACACACTTTCTAGAAGCTCTGTCTGTTATATAAACTTTAATTATATATACAGTCTGTGGTACAGTGTGCGCTCATCTCTTGCCTCATCAATGTCACATTTGGCCCAGACAGCCAATCAAATCACGTAAGAGGCTTTACCACCTCCTTCCTGTTTTGATGCCGTTTACTCTGCAGGTAAATAGCAAGTTAGCCAGCGGCGTAATGGAGGTAAAGCAACCTCAGTTAACTTCCTCTTTGAAATGAAACCAGAGTTTTCTCATCCAGAGCTCCAACGCTCCGAATCAACTCTCGCTTTGACGAGTCTCTCTGTGAGCCGACCCTGAGAGCGAAATCAGAAAGGAGGAAAAAGTAAGGAATGAAGGAGAGCTGGTTGGATCAAAAGAAGGAAAGCATGGAAGGATGGTAGAGGATTGAAAGAGAGAAGGGTAGATGGATGGATGGAAAGAATGAAAAAGTAACGAAAGGATAAAAGAAGAAAAGAAAGATTGATGATGGGAAGAATGAAAATAAGGAAAGACGAGAGGAAGGATAAAAGAAGGAAAACAAGACTATAAAAAAGATTGATGTCAAGAAGAGAAGGAAAAAGAAAGGAGGGAAAGATGGATTGAAAGAGGATATAAAGAAGGAAGGAAGGATAGAAGGATAAACAGATGAAGGAGGACAGTGTAGGAGGAGGAGAGATGACACATTTTCATTATTCTCTAATTAATTCACAGCCGACTTAATTACATCATACAGTGTGTGTGTGTGTGTGTGTGTGTGTCGCCATGACAGCGGGGAGTCTCTCAGCCAATCAGAGCAGAGCCTCAAACATTCAGACAGAAAGAATTTCAAATATTTACGCAGGTAATAAAACTGCACCTCCTCCTCCTTCTTTACTCTTCTTTCTCTCCTCCAGTCCTCATCTTCACCTCCTCTTTTACTCATTCTCTCCTTCTCTTCACTCTTCTTCATTTTTCTCCCCCTCTGTCTCCGCCGTTCCTCTTCCTCCCTCCTCCCACTCCTCACATTGTCTTTCTTTACTTCTGTGTATTGACGACCTTCTTTCTTCTTCTGATTTCAAATTTTTGTAGCATTTTCTTTGTTCTCATTGTTTGTGCTAAGCTAAACTAAAAGTGTCCTGGTTGCACTGACGGTATCAGGAACGCAGTAGGAAGTAGAAAACCTTCATACCTTACATTTTCTACTCCCTGCGGCGGAGAGATGGTCAGATCAAAAGAAGGAACAAAGAAAAGATGGTGGAAAGAGAAACAAACAAAATGTAGAAAAAAGCTTTTTTCACTTTTTCACACAGTGTGAGCTCTTCTTCTCTTCTTCTTTTCTTTCATCTCCTCTTCCTCTGCAGCTGTTTTCTGTTGTCTCATTACACACAAACACACACCATTAAACAGCTAATGGTCTTTAAAGTCGATCTCTTTGTTTCCTCTGTCTGTTCCCTCGTCTTTCATCTTCCTCCATCGCCCTGTTCATAATATAATACATATATAGTATTACACAGTGTATATATATACAGAATATATTTTACTTGTGCAGACTTTATCTGAAATATTCACGCTTTTGAAACCGAGTCGACGTTGTTATTCATGCATTTTCTAAATAAAACACAAACTGAAGAAATTATTTAAATCTGTGCAGAAATCTGGCCCCATCTATATAATAATAACAATAATAATAAAGTTTGATATTTCTGCTGCAGTATGAGATAAGATGTTCCTTTATATATTACATGAAACACATAAATGAAACATGTTAAGCACGTCACGCTGTCATACTGTAAATGTTTTAACACGAGAGAGGCTCCATGTATATGTTTTAATATTAAATATGACTTTATGTAACAGTTTATTTATAGAGTGTATGAAGGGATTCAGGAGGGAGGCAGAACGCGAACAGTAATCAGGGTAAACACAGAGAGAGGACACTGAACACATCACTGGATCATATTAATGACACTGAACACATCACTGGATCATATTAAT